ACATACACCATATGTTACATGCCAACCTGTACATACACCATATGTTACATACCAACCTGTACATACACCATATGTTGCATACCAACCTGTACATACACCATATGTTACATACCAACCTGTACATACACCATATGTTACATACCAACCTGTACATACACCATATGTTGCATACCAACCTGTACATACACCATATGTTACATACCAACCTGTACATACACCATATGTTACATGCCAACCTGTACATACACCATATGTTGCATACCAACCTGTACATACACCATATGTTGCATACCAACCTATACATACCCAATATGTTGCATACCAGTCTGTACATACATATGCTGCATACCAACATGTACATCCATATATGTATTACCAACCTGTACCATATGCTGTACCAACATGTACATACCATATGTTGCATACCAACATGTACATCCATATGTTGCATACCAACATGTACATACACCATATGTTGCATACCAACCTGTACATACACCATATGCTGCATACCAACCTGTACATACACCATATGTTGCATACCAACCTGTACATACATATGCTGCATACCAACCTGTACATACACAATATGTTGGATACCAACCTGTACATACATATGTTGGATACCAACCTGTACATACACCATATGTTGCATACCAACCTGTACATCCATATGTTGCATACCAACCTGTACATACCCCATATGTTGCATACCATACCATACACCATATGTTGTACATGTACCACCATATGTTGCATACCAACCTGTACATCCATATGTTGCATACCAGTCTGTACATACACCATATGTTGCATACCAACCTGTACATCCACATGTTGCATACCAGTCTGTACATACACCATATGTTGCATACCAACCTGTACATACACCATATGTTGCATACCAACCTGTACATACACCATATGTTGCATACCAGTCTGTACATACCCCATATGCTGCATACCAACCTGTACATCCATATGTTGCATACCAACCTGTACATCCATATGTTGCATACCAGTCTGTACATACACCATATGTTGGATGCCAACCTGTACATACACCATATGTTGCATACCAACCTGTACATACACCATATGCTGCATACCAACCTGTACATACACCCATATGTTGCATACCAACCTGTACATACACCATATGTTGCAAACCAGTCTGTACATACCCCATATGTTGCATACCAACCTGTACATACACCATATGCTGCATACCAACCTGTACATCCATATGTTGCATACCAGTCTGTACATACCCCATATGTTGCATACCAACCTGTACATACACCATATGTTGCATACGAACATGTACATTCATATGTTGCATACCAACCTGTACATACACCATATGCTGCATACCAACATGTACATACACCATATGCTGCATACCAACCTGTACATACACCATATGTTGCATACCAACCTGTACATACACCATATGTTGCATACCAACCTGTACATACACCATATGTTGCATACCAACCTGTACATCCATATGTTGCATACCAGTCTGTACATACACCATATGCTGCATACCAACATGTACATACACCATATGTTGCATACCAACCTGTACATCCATATGTTGCAAACCAGTCTGTACATACCCCATATGTTGCATACCAACCTGTACATACACCATATGTTGCATACCAACCTGTACATCCATATGTTGCATACCAGTCTGTACATACACCATATGTTGCATGCCAACCTGTACATACACCATATGTTGCATACCAACCTGTACATCCATATGCATACCAACCTGCATATACCATACCTGTACATACACCATATGCTGCATACCAACCTGTACATACACCAACCTGTATATGTTGCATACCAACCTGTACATACACCATATGTTGCATACCAACCTGTACATACACCCATATATGTTGCATACCAACCTGTTGTTGCATACCAACCTGTACATACACCATATGTTGTACATACCATACCCTGTACATACACCATATGTTGCATACCATTACCTGTACATACACCATATGCTGCATACCAACCTGTACATACACCATATGTTGCATACCAACCTGTACATACACCATATGTTGCATACCAATGCTGTACATAACAATGCATATGTTGCATACCAACCTGTACATACATATATGTTGCATACCAGTCCTGTACATACACCATATGTTGCATACCAACCTGTACATACACCATATGCTGCATACCAACCTGTACATACACCCATATGTTGCACATACACCCATATGTTGCATACTGTACATACACCATATGTTGCATACCAACCTGTACATACACCATATGTTGCATACCAACCTGTATATCCATATGTTGCATACCAGTCTGTACATACACCATATGCTGCATACCAACATGTACATACACCATATGTTGCATACCAACCTGTACATCCATATGTTGCAAACCAGTCTGTACATACCCCATATGTTGCATACCAACCTGTACATACACCATATGTTGCATACCAACCTGTACATCCATATGTTGCATACCAGTCTGTACATACACCATATGCTGCATACCAACATGTACATACACCATATGTTGCATACCAACCTGTACATCCATATGTGCTGCATACCAGTCTGTACATACCCCATATGTTGCATACCAACCTGTACATACACCATATTTTGCAAACCAGTCTGTACATACCCCATATGTTGCATACCAACCTGTACATACACCATATGTTGCATGCCAACCTGTACATACACCATATGTTGCATACCAACCTGTACATCCATATGCTGCATACCAACCTGTACATACCCCATATGCTGCATACCAACCTGTACATACCCCATATGCTGCATACCAACCTGTACATACACCATATGTTGCATACCAACCTGTACATACACCATATGCTGCATACCAACCTGTACATACACCATATGTTGCATACCAACCTGTACATACACCATATGCTGCATACCAGTCTGTACATACACCATATGCTGCATACCAACCTGTACATACACCATATGTTGGACACCAACCTGTACATACATATGTTGGATACCAACCTGTACATACACCATATGTTGCATACCATCCTGTACATCCATATGTTGTATACCAGTCTGTACATACACCATATGCTGCATACCAACATGTACATACACCATATGTTGCATACCAACCTGTACATCCATATGTTGCAAACCAGTCTGTACATACCCCATATGTTGCATACCAACCTGTACATACACCGTATGTTGCATACCAACCTGTACATCCATATGTTGCATACCAGTCTGTACATACCCCATATGCTGCATACCAACATGTACATACACCATATGTTGCATACCAACCTGTACATCCATATGTTGCAAACCAGTCTGTACATACCCCATATGTTGCATGCCAACCTGTACATACACCATATGTTGCATACCAACCTGTACATCCATATGCTGCATACCAACCTGTACATACCCCATATGCTGCATACCAACCTGTACATACACCATATGTTGCATACCAACCTGTACATACACCATATGCTGCATACCAACCTGTACATACACCATATGTTGCATACCAACCTGTACATACACCATATGCTGCATACCAACATGTACATCCATATGTTGCATAACAACCTGTACATACACCATATGTTACATACCAACCTGTAGATACACCATATGTTGCATACCAACCTGTACATACACCATATGTTGCATACCAACCTGTACATCCATATGCTGCATACCAACCTGTCCATACACCATATGTTACATGCCAACCTGTACATACACCATATGTTGCATACCAACCTGTATATACACCATATGTTGCATACCAACCTTTATTACCCACGTGGTCAACGTATGGGTAGTTGCATATTCATCTCGTACGTCACACGAGTGTCGTATCGCGTTGACCTGTGTCGTAACGACTTGACCTGAAATTCTAACGATTTGATTGGATAACCGATGACCTCTCAATTAGGTCACATTCTGACGTAACTATTTTTCCATTCATAACAAACACGTGAATTCATTCATTCTACAACTAAAATGCATTGTGGGAATGTAAACATTGCGAACGTTGCCGTGTCGCTGTTTAATTGTGAGTCGAACTGAGACATTATATCTGTCGAAAAACATAAACGCAATGTTTCCACCAGTGATGTTAGCCGAATGAAGCAACTGGAAACCAAGAAACGAGGTGCAACGGAGTGGTTTACTGTAGGAGGCTGTACGAGGCGATGATAACTGACATGCATCGTGACGTCGGTTACCATGGCAGTGACGTCATTAGTGTGACGTCATGCAAATATTGTACTACAGTACAAACCTCTTCCGCAACCTCTTTATGAAACCGGTTTCGGTTTGAAACCAAAAACATAACAAAAATACGCTATTTTGTCAATTTAAATGCATGTAAGACGTGGTAATAAATAAAATATTACTCGGTCTCATTACATACGAATTATACGAAATCTCGTGACCTTCCTATGTTATCTGACCTCGCTTTCGCTCGGTCAGATACCATAGGAAGGACACTCGTTTCGTATAATTCGTATGTAATGAGACCTCGTGTAGTATTCTCTATGTACATACACCATATGTTGCATGCCAACCTGTACATACACCATATGTTACATGCCAACCTGTACATGCTCCATGTTACGTAATACACCAATAATACACTTTAAGTTGCTCAATACACATGTACATATATTCGTGCACTAATATACACGTTAAACCCAAAACACAGCTGTACAACTTTCACAATAAACTTTGTCATGTAAATTTGCACAGGTGCCACAAGCTGCATAATGCATTAAGACTCTGTGTTATGTATCTGCCTCTAGGGAGTAGATAGATACACCTATAATCTATCGGGTCTGTTTAGTCATACATGAGGTATGGTGGCGATGACATGCTCCACGGGTTTGATGGCATATAACTGCACAGTTTTCTACAAACAGCACGTGTATGTTGCAGGTGTTCCCCAGACAGATGATGTTGCTGCAGCTCCTGCCCCTGTTCTCCCTTCTTTGCGCGCTGCCCCGCACCTGGGCCACGTGCAGGTTCCCTGAGTTCCTCCAGAGGGATGAGCCTTGGGCAGCAGACTATGGAGAGGGAACCTTTGTTGCTTACGTCAAGGGAACGTACATGCAAATTAACCAAATCAAAGGCGGAAGTGGCAGCGCGTATGCTCGAAGATGCATACAGAAAACCTCGAATGACAAGTATTTGGTGACACACGAAGAGAAACAAAAGGAGCACCGTTTTGTTTGTATGCAGTTTCTTCGGAGAAGTGCCAACATTGTTCAACTGAAAGTATCTCGTAACTCAAATCGACGCTCCATTGACTTGTGTCAAGATCGTTTAATGGCCTTAGATCACTGGCCTATCGTGCAGTTAAGTCAAACACCCGACCAGCGCATTACGTGCCCCTTTGTCGGCGGTTACAATGTACAGATGCAGTTCCCTAACCACACCATAGTATGTGCTGACCATCTGCTCTTGTTAAGGATTGAAAGTGAATGTGAAAAGGGAGAAGGGATATTGTTTGATTTCCGGGACGAACAATGTATCCCTCCTTCCCTACCCCGAGATATCAAGCAAAGAGCGTACTGTATTGCTCACTGGGAAGAAAATGGTCAGACCTTTGTTATTCTCCAACATGCCACTGTTCATAAACAAATGTGGTGCCTCCGTATCAGTGATGCTCTGGGAGATATGAAGGGAGCCTATCTCATGCTGGACCTTGTTTGTCACCCCAACGAATCGGAAGAGGAAACGTTGAACTATTACTACATCAGCATAGAAAAACAGGTTCACTCCAGTATCTGTGCTGATGCTGTGGATGGATGTTCTTTGATCAAGGATTTCTGTGACACAGATTTCAGGCAGCACTGCTCAAAAACTTGTCGTGATTGTGAGTATGAAAGTGAAATTGGCTTGTGTACTTTTCCCGAACATATGAGAGGCAAATGGATCGACGCTAAAGGGAACAGAGAACATGAAATCAACATCTACGATTATTCTATGAATATTAACGACATAGGCAGATTTCAGTGTTTGGAGATGCAGAGCGATTATTACCGAGATCGACGAGTCCTTCTTGAGTTGTTCGATAACGGGTGTTACCCACGCTACGCTTGTGTTGAGCTGGAGAAGATAGCCCTTCCGGTCATGAAGTACCGCTTGGGAAGCAGACTCGACTGGCCTCTGATACCAACGCCAGATCAGAAGAAACTTATCTGTGATGATGAAGCATTCCAGTCGAGGCCTAACAGCTTGTATGATAACAGTTTGAAACCATCAAGGTTACTCATACGAAAAGAAAAAATGCATTATGTAAGTTGCGGGCTCCCGCCTTCATTGCAATATGGGCTTTCCTTCCGCGAGGAGGGGGAGGACTGTGGCGGTTGTCTCTACTACAGCCCTGTTCACGAAGACGATAGCATCACGGTTCAGCCTGTTAACTGCTCCACACCTAACCTCCCTATCGACTACAGGTGTCTGGCGTCGTTCCAGTTCGGCAATGATACCCATGCAGTTGTCGCCAAAAGTAGAGACACATACCTTTGTTGGGTGTTCACGGACGACAGTAAAATCAAGGTTCTCACAGCTGGAGATTGTTTCTCCTATGAATTAATGGAGACCGCCAAACTTCAGGGTTATTTTACTATCACAGAGGAAAACCTGTGTCAGAATATCATGCGCGTTTTGAGAACAACTACCACCACCACCCAGAAAACAACGCAGATAACATCCACCCTAGGTAGAATCGAGTACACTGTCATACCCCCAGCCTTTGAGGTAGAACAGGAACCTATCATTACTCCAAGTTCATCAGTAGGTAATGGTGCCCCCCTTAGCACAACACCAATGTCATACCAGCAGTTGCTCATCCCCTGCCTTGTGTTTATATTGAGACACATACTGAGCTGAGTGTTCCCTGTGCTGTGTGGTGACCAGCTGAAATGCACTACGGAGTGCTCCTGTTTCAACTGAACATACAATTCATTAATTCAGTCTGCATGTAAGGAGGAGTCACATGAACGATTGCATCCACAGACTGAATACATGTGATAACATTACTCTGATCTGGAAGTCCGTACTACAAAGACCATTGCTCCTGACCACGGTTGATGCTGGCCGAGACCCGAACCTGCCTGAACCGGTGTAATGTAGCTCAGTAGGAGGTCGTTGTTGCTCATATTTGCTATTGTATATGTTGAGGAACTGGTGAGACTATATGTGAGCGGTCCTGCAGGCAGTGTGATTGAAGGACGGTGAGACTGGTGCATTGCTTACAGCTGTAGACGTCGCGGATGTTGCCGGAGTGGTACCCAGACGGGACTTCAGTTTTACAGTTTCTTCAAATATAGGAGGTTCCATGGACCTACTTATACCCATGTCTAAGTCGATTTATTCAGGGTCCTCTTTCAGAAAGTATTTTTTTAGAATTTTTCTCTGGGTGGCTTCTGACTCCGTCACACTTTGTATGGATTTTGCATGTTTGTTTATATCTATTTAACTGATGCTATGTACATATCGCTACTGAGTATTTGTTCACATCCAGATACACATGCATAGTTTATAGGTCAATTTCCATTTCATGTGTTATGATATTGTCTGGTCTAAAGTTAAACCATTATTATCTTTTGACGCCTCGTAAATCGTAGTACGGGAACGTTTATGTATACAATATGTCCAGTACCTAATATATTTACTTGATTCAGTGACAATAAGTGTTAAACCCCGTCAGAACGCACTATGTGTGTGTTCGTGTGTGCGCGTGCTCGTACCTGAGAGAAAGAGCGAGCGAGTGAGATAGATAAAGGGAAGTAATGAGTAATATATAGAATGTGTATATGTGTGTGTGTGTGTATGTGTGTGTGTGTGTGTGTGTGTGTGTGTGTGTGTGTGTGTGTGTGTGTGTGTGTGTGTGTGTGTGTGTGTGTGTGTGTGTGTGTGTGTGTGTGTGTGTGTGTGTGTGTGTGTGTGTGTGTGTGTGTGTTTTACTAGCCCGTAACTGAGGGGTGTATTTAATAACAACCGTAGTGTTTGTTGTCCTCAGAATACCGTGGTGTACAGATATGCATGGGTGGAGATGTTCCGTATTGCTCTAACCCGCTAGCTTTACTGCCGTAGAAGTAGTTCTCCTTTCAGTTGCCGCATTCAGCTATCTATTGCCTAAAGTCTAGTCTAGATGTGAGACAGTCATTGTATTCAATTACTAATGAAATCATTAGACGTCTCGTGTACGAGAAAATGTTAGGAGATGAACAAGACTGCTTTGAACCGTCATAACGCGGTTTAATACTGTACAATGCTAACCCGTTAGATCTTGAAAAATTAACGCAAGCGTCCTCTCAAGAATGCGCTTTAAAATACTTCATTTTCATTATGCATGAAGCCTAGGTCATGCTCGAGAGGACTCTCATATTGATTATAGTTCCTATCATGTTGACTGTTTTCTACATGAATTACTTTGATGAAACAATGTGATCTATATGTTTAAAACCAGACTTTCATTTTGTAAGTTGTGCTTTTTAACATTTATTATTATGTGTCTCTCCAGCGTTGTGTCAACCTAGTCTAGTTATTGTTTTGTGATAGATGTAAGATTTTCCTCTTCAATGCATGAAGTACTACACCGTTCACGTTGTGGTAAGGCCAGCAGGATTGTTGTCAATGATATTGATGGGGTGAGATTTCGTTATACACTCTCTCACTCTCATAATGTGGGTCATTGTAGTCAGTCACAGCCAAAGTTCTTGTTTGCGTCGGCAGTTACAGTTAATGTTATAACAAATGTCGGCAGTTACAGTTAATGATACGGCTAATTTTCGTCATCATAATTGATGGTATGGCTTCCATCGGCAGTCACAGCTAATGTTGAAGCTAATGCTGGTCGTCAAAGCTAATGGTCTAGCCTATGTTGGCTGCGTCAGCTTGACAAGTAGCTGATGTTGGCCATCCCATCTACTATGGACGACGACTCTTCGTAGTAGTCTACGTCGACTCAGTCACATGACATCACAGGGAAATACAGATACTATAAACTCGGCTTATCTTATGTCGTCATTTGGTGGCGACAAGCCCGTTTGAAATCTGCTGTATGCAGTTCCGTCATGGGGAACTATAACAAGTATAAAGTTATTTTGGGGCGTTCATCAAACAGCAATCCTGTCACATCTTGCTCAACTACTGGCCTTATAACGTTTCGCCATGGATCGGTTTAACTGTCGTCTTTCCTGTCATGCCACGTGACCGACTGACTTGTGTACATTATGCAAGGACAGCTACCAAATCACGACGTGATACCTCAGCCTTGTGATTACTTTACTGGCCCAGTGCAGTTGGTGACATGTCTGTAGTTGGTGTGACATGGATCTCTATGTCCTTGTATAAAGGAGAAGTAAAGTTTACTGCCAACTTTGGGCTTTCCATACATTTACTCCTTCCTTAGTGTGTGATCGCTCCAGCTGCGTAACGTCATTCCCTCTGTCATATCAGCTGGTACTGTGTCTCAGTGCTGTTTCAGCTGTCGCCACCCACAGCTTCGGTTGTATTCCTATTGGCTGATTAAGTTATGTTATAGCCTATATTCTGACACTGGCTGTTACAGTTTGTTTTGGAACCACTGTTACCTGTTACAGAATGTGTGATAGCTAATACTGGCTGTTACAGATTGTGTCATGGCTGAAGTTGGGCGTTACAGATTGTGTTATAGCTAATGTTAGCTGTTGTTCCAGATTGTGTTGTGGCTAATGCTGGCTGTTACATATTGTGTTATGCCAAATATTGGTTGTTACAGTTTTATGTACGGCTAATGCAGGTTGTTACAGCCCCTATCATCAAATGTCAAGGTTTATGAATTTATCAATTCCTCGCAACTGGAACGTGTGGCATGTTCCATCAAGTTAGGCGGGGACCTTCTCGAGTGAAGAACATCTGCGTACACAAGCACGCGAGAGATGACGTAGCTTGCATCATACAGGTGGTGCTTTTCCTGCTGTTTTGTGTACCCTCAGTATGCGAGGTCTTTATGTATGACCCAAGGCCTTAACGTCCGCTTATGAAGGTGCACCGGACCTATATAATGCAGAAAGATTCCATGGTCTCCTTCAGTTGCATTTCTACAGTATGCTGCTACACCTTCTTGTTCGTGTCTAGCATGGTCGTGCACCTTCCTCTGAAGTCGTGCCTGATCACTGTGGCCCCGATGTCTTTGTCTCCGCTATCTGCATGCTTCTCTGGGTGTCGGGGGCCATGCACGTCACGCTTACATTGGTCGTCGTAGCCTTCAGTACCAGCCACCCCTACCCACTCCAGTGACAGGGGCCTGGACTGCAAGACCTTCACCTCTGGCACTCATCCTCGGATCAGTTTGTAGCGTGTAGGTCCGTTGTGCCTTTAGCTGTAAACTCGGCTATATCTTTAATCCATTATCCTACTTTATTTAATTGTAACATCACGCACGATAGTACAGTTACGAAACGGCCGCATGGCTTGTGTTACAACAAATATCAACACCTTGGTGCATATATCCATGTGCAAACAATTCATTTTTAATTTGATTTACAACAGCATATTAAAGAAGTACAGTATTGTTTTGTTATACAGCACTCGTTATGTCTTGTTGGTTTCTATAAAGGAGGCATATGCCAGTTGTCTATTGATATGCTGTATCTATAAGACTTGTTTTTCAATAAATCTCTTCAAATTTGTTGATCTGTTGTAATAACTTCAGAACAAGGCGACATATATTACTTGTGTCACTAACTGTCATGGTTTGGGGCACTATTCTACTTGTGTCCCAGACACCCCTCACTGGGTAGACTTACATTAGACGGACGTCTAACTACCTAATTGGATAAGGTCCCTAACCCTAACCCTAACCCTAACCCTAAACCCCTAATAATAAATAAAATAAATTGACCAAAGCTGCGAACAATGGAATATGGCGGAAGGTGTCAGGTATAATGCATTCTGACTGTCCATAACCTAACCTGACCTGACTGTCCATAACCTAACCTGCCAGGACTGTTCCTAACCACCCCTTACTTCTCCAAACCTAACCATTTCTGACAGTCCCGAACCACCCCTGACTATCTCTAACCATCCTTGACTGTCCCAAACCATCCCTCGCTGCCAGAAATTACCCAGCGCCACCATTGTAGAACTGTACATATACTTAGATATTAACCAGCGCCACCGTTGTAGGTCTGTGCATACACTTAGATATTAACCAGCGCCACCATTGCAGATCTATGCATACACTTAGGTATTAACCAGCGCCACCATTGTAGATCTATGCATGCACTTAGATATGAACCCGCGCCACCATTGTAGATCTATGCATACACTTAGATATTAACCAGCGCCACCATTGTAGATCTATGCATACACTTAGATATTAACCAGCGCCACCAGCGACACCCCTCACTGGGTAGACTTACATTAGACGGACGTCTAACTACCTGATTGGATAAGGTCTCTAACCCTAACCCTAACCCTAACCCTAAACCCCTAATAATAAATAAAATAAATTGACCAAAGCTGCGAACAATGGAATATGGCGGAAGGTGTCAGGTATAATGCATTCTGACTGTCCATAACCTAACCTGACCTGACTGTCCATAACCTAACCTGCCAGGACTGTTCCTAACCACCCCTTACTTCTCCAAACCTAACCATTTCTGACAGTCCCGAACCACCCCTGACTATCTCTAACCATCCTTGACTGTCCCAAACCATCCCTCGCTGCCAGAAATTACCCAGCGCCACCATTGTAGAACTGTACATATACTTAGATATTAACCAGCGCCACCGTTGTAGGTCTGTGCATACACTTAGATATTAACCAGCGCCACCATTGCAGATCTATGCATACACTTAGGTATTAACCAGCGCCACCTCATTGTAGATCTATGCATGCACTTATATTAACCAGATACCGTTGAACCCTTAGATATTAACCATTGTAGATCTATGCATACACTTTAGATATTAACCAGAGCCACCATTGTATACACTTAGATATTAACCAGGTCCAGTGCCATTTAAATATTAAACTCAGTATGTGCATACACTTAGATATTAACCATTGTAGCCTATGCACCATCTTACATATTAACCAGTGCCACCGCTGTACATCTGTGCATACACTTAGATATTAACCAGCGCCACCATTGTAGATCTATGCATACCACCCTGCCACCGCTGTACATCTATGCATACACTTATATATGTACCAGCGCCACCATTGTAGATCTGTAGATACATGCATTAACCACCACCGTTGTAGATATTAACTTAGATATTAACCAGCGCCACCATTGTAGATCTATTCATACACTTAGATATTAACCAGTGCGCCACCGCTGTGGATCTTATGCATACACTTATATATGTACCAGTGCCACCATTGTAGATCTATGCATACACTTAGATATTAACCAGTGCCACCATTGCCACCAGAGCCACCATTGTAGATCTATTCATAAACTTAGATATTAACCAGCGCCACCGTTGTAGGTCTGTGCATAAACTTAGATATTAACAGCGCCACCATTGTAGATCTATGCATACACTTAGATATTAACCAGTGCCACCGCTGTACATCTATGCATACACTTATATATGTACCAGTGCCACCATTGTAGATCTATGCATACACTTAGATATTAACAGCGCCACCGCTGTAGATCTATGCATACACTTAGATATTAACCAGTGCCACCGTTGTAGATCTATGCATACACTTAGATATTCACCAGCGCCACCGTTGTAGGTCTGTGCATACACTTAGATATTAACCAGCCCGACCAATCTAGATCTATACATACACTTAGATATTAACCAGCGCCACCATTGTAGATCTATACATGCACTTTGATATTAACCAACGGCACCAACCAATGA